CACTCCTTCAGTGATGTCTCAGGTTCTTTGTCTCTTGCTCCTTTGCTTTCTTACTTCCTTAAGAAAATATGGTTTAAAGAAACAGCTTGTAAGTTAACTATATATGTTATTCTACAAACCAATAAGCAAATTCTATTAATACCTAATTCAATAACCCTAAAATTTAATTAACCTATATCCAATTTATAAAAGTAATTAAATAAAAGACGATCTGAAATGGATTTTGCGTGTTTGCAGTTAAATATATCAACACCAAGTTGATTAAGCAGATTTATGACTATACAGACATCATAAAGTTTATTGTAGACTCCGCAGTCATAAAAGACCACTTCATAACAAACAAAATCAAATTTGACCCACAAACAGCCACAAAGTGATAAATTTTAAACGAATTAAATCAAATCTTTTGTTAGCACCCGACCGATTTAATTAGACCTTAGAAACCACGTACTGAATGTTCATTTATTCTTATCTCTTGTATCCAGTTGAGGGTTGGACAGGTCTACATGAATTGGTACTTTAACGTCCCCTGTACGATACGGCACGTGTCTTACCACCCTTTCAGACGGATATCATGGGATACAATAAATATTTGGACGAGTTGTAACGAATTCTGTTTAAATTGCAATTCTTGTCACGTTTTCCCTTGATATATTGGTTTGGGGACATTTAAAATCTACATTATACTTAGAGGTATCCAGTAATCGATTCATACAGATTGGGAAATAACAAGGGATTAATCCAAAGGAACTTTGATCTGCCAATCATATTAAAAAATAATGCATTTTTACCTAGAGAATACAATTTAGTACTTCAATTATTTTCATCTGTGGAAAGATTTGTATTTTTGTATGTATAGAAATAACTCAAAAACTACTTGGTCGATTTTCAAAATTCTTTCACCAATAAAAAGCTACGTTGTCACTGAATAACTAACATGATCTATTTTAATTTTTTAAATTTCACGTGGACTCTTGAAATAATAAGAAAAACTGACCTAACAATATTGAGATGGAAGTTGAAAAAATATTCACATATTTTCATTATTTTCGACATCAAAGTATTTTGCGCGCTTGCACAAGATTTATTTAAAAAAAATCCAATCGTCTAAGTGGGAGGAGGTAGTTGGGGTGTGGATAGGTTCCCTTATGTCAAAAGGAATGGAGACGTCACGCGAACACCACACATATTTCATTGATGCCATCCTTCACTAAACTAATGTAAGTGAAAATAAGCGATGATCGTAATGTACGGTTCACAGAAAAAGCATTGATATTATAAGATTGGACATACATATTTGAATGAAAGAAAGCACTCGAGGTATTTTTGTCATTTTAAACTAGATGGCATTGTTTTCAATCATGAAAACTTTCTGATATTAATTTATTACTGTGTTGTACTAACTAATATATTTCAAATTAATTTACATAACATACCATTAATTTAACTATACTAAAAATATAAAGAATAAAGATTTGTATTTTTGAATGAATTGAAATAACCCAAAAACTACTGAGCCGATTACAAAAATTCTTTTACCGTTAAAAAGAAACGTTATCAATGAGCAAAATAGGCTACGTTTTCATTGTTTAATTTTTTGCGGTGAAGTCGCAAACAACAGCTAGTAAAACTTTAGTTGGTTTGACATTTTATAGACTAAAAATAAAAACGTATTTGCAATCGGTACTTACCATAACTAATGTACCGGTCACGGTGCGTGGCCGGCAAACAAAGCGGCCACCCCAGGCCGGAGCGCATCGCCACACTGCCGTGATGCTGCCGTGCCGTTGCCAATGCCGTTCCGTTTTTGTCCCTACTGACTCTACTTGTATAATACTAGTCTTTTATTGATACAGATGTATTACAAAAATGACTATTTAAAACGAATGTAGATATCACTATCAAAAAATCTGCGTTTACATTTATTTTCCTTAGGTTAGATGTTATTGTTAGCTTGATAAAATATTTGCAATAACAATTCTAATGTAAATTATTGTATCTCGGAATACCGATTGGCCGCCGAACCGTCGGTCGGCCCAGATACCCCTGGGCGACGCCGTAGAGTTGGACCTGCGCGACCTATAGTCGAACGACTGGCAGGCGACGACGCAGGACAGACGACGCTGGCACTCTCTCGTGTCGGAGGGTCAAGACCAAGACCCACTTTGCGTCGCTGCGTCAATGCAGTAAGTAAATTATTGTATGGCAAAGAAATATTCTATTTTAAGTCAACAAGATTCATAAAAAAAATACGACACCCACACCCATCATCAAGGATTCGTGATTAGGATAAGACGTCATCATTCTCATCACCGACCGTGTTTGTCACCACCCATGGCGCTCTCTCGCCGCTAATATCTATATTTACCTCTAATCTCCGTAAACTTATGATTACACGTCAATTTATTCGGTCCCAAGAATTATTTATATTATAAACGCGCACCAAACACGATAATGAGCGAGGATTGGACCCACGAAGGCTGAGCTTGTTTCAAATTGGACATAAGTGGCGTGGAATAGATTTGTTTAAAGTAAACAGACATTCTTATAAAGACTAGCTGTTGTTCGCGACTTCGTCCGTGCAAAATAAAGCTTATGTTACTCATTGATAAAATACCTTTCTAACGGTGAAAGAATTTTTAAAATCACCCCAGTAGTTTTTAAGTTATTTCAGTACATACAAAAATCCAAATCTTGCCGTTATAAAATATTAGTATAGATAGTATAACAGTAAGTACAGAAGTATAGATCAACTTTAGGTTTCCCATACGGAGAGTTTTTACTTGACTGTCCGGCATTTATTTTTTTAATCAAACACAGTTATCTCTAAAGTATGATTGGTTTTTTTATTTTAGTTTGACTCGAAATAAATGAACCAAGACAAAGTGACATTTGTTATCTCTAGTAACTAAGTTAAAATGTATAGAATTACAATAGGCTTTATCTACAAGCCTACTTTCAGTATTGTTAAAACTCTACATTTTACATTTTTTTAATAGTTCAATTAAAATATTTTATTGAATTCGACTCCATAGTTTCCGAGACGTAATAGCGCAGGTGATAATGTGTCGAGCGGTTTGCCACCGCGGGCGACGACGTTAGAGCAACTCGGCTCCGGCTTAAGTTACACTTACAGTTTAAATTACATACGTTTATTGCTAACTGATGACAACACAGTTTACTTTCATTATCATACTTTAGTTCGTTCTAAAGTGTTCTAATAGTCTATACCTTGACCCTTTAAAGTCTTTAGACATTAGAATAGATCCATAATGTTGACATATATTGACAGACTTTGTCCCGCGACTCCGTCCGCGGGAAATTGATAAATAATATAACCCATAGGCTTTATTCCTTACTGATAACGTAGCTTCTTAATGGTAAAAGTATTTTGAAATCAGCCCAGTAATTTTTGATTTATTTCATTACAATCAAACAAACAAAGTTTTCCTCTTTATAATATCAAAATAGATGATATATTATTATAAATTAGTTTTCGTCCGCTCGGATTAAAAAAAGGTAAGTAGCATAGCTGACTGATAGTAGACTGGCAGGCGACAACGCAGAACAGACGACGCTGGCGCTCTCTCGTGTCAGAGACCAAGACTAACTTGGGGTCGCTGCGCCAACGCAGTAAGTAAGTAAGTAGCATATGTGTTCATCCGGACTATGTTCTACATCTAAGCCAAATTTCATCGATATCGCTTCAGCTATTAAGGCTACAAACTATAGCAAACATCTGTCCATACATCCATCTAAACTTTCACATTTATAATATTAGTAAGAAGTTTTATAATTCAGTAAATTGATCCCAATCTAATAAGAAAACTAAATTGCACCTTCAGCAATGTCACGTGATGAAAATAAAAGAACAACGTGAGATAAAAGGTATCTGAATTATACTTAATTTCAGGTTTTTCAAAGGTTTATCTACTGAGTATGATTTAGGAAGAACCGTTAATACAACAGCGACGTCTCAATCTGGTAGGGTAAAGGGGAAAGTAAAGTAACTCAATCCTGTAAAGGCGAATTGCTTCGTCACGAGGTATGAACTCTATTGCCTTCGCTGGACACCAATCGCAAGTTACATAAAGAGAGACATTATCCGAACCGTGGCCGAGTCACGAGCGTGCAATTTGATAGCAATCGACATTGCTGCTTCGATGGCCCTCGATCGCCACCCACGGACTTATGATCTCGGACTAGGTGGAGATCTAAATACGTAATTATCACCGACCGTGCGCCGTAAATTATGGGAATGGAACGAGTCGTGGTGACTGCCAAATTTGTGGCCTCACCTCTTGGGATGGGATATTGTGGATAAGCCTCTAGTTAAATAGTTATTTTACACTATAGATGTACTTATAAGAATGGTTAAGCATGTTCATCGATACTTTATTTACTTTTAATATTCTTACAGATTTCATTGGAGTTTTTTATTAACTGTTTTATCGTTTTTTTTTCTATTTTCTACATCGTGTTTTTGATTGCTAGATTCGATAATTAGTGTTTTAGTTACCTTCGTTTCTAGCAAATATTTATGTTATTTACACCAAGTAGACGAAAACAAATAAAATACTTAACAGATTGACTGAACGTATAAAAACTACATTGAAACATAAATAAAACTCTACTCACGGAATAGTATAATGGTCAACAACGATAAAATTTTATTAACATAGCTTATCCATATTAAGATAATGGCTACGTCATCAGAAATTGGGCGGGAAAAAAAACAAAGGTCGAAAAACCAACAAACTGAATATCACGGCACCTACCGCCCCGAGGAGCCAAAACTTAATCATACACATTATCCAGTTATGACAGCCAGTCTCGCCAAACAAAGCATGTTCAGAGATTGGTTAAAATAATATTTTATATTCTCGATTTTTTCTAATATGAACGTGTCTTTAATTTATTAATTATTTAATTTATGTATTGTGAGACATTTATTCTTTATTATTATTTATTTATAGAGAGTTTTATTCGCTTGTTTTCAATCAAATATAAGAATAGCAACAGATTGCATTTGATATCTTCTTGTGGCGCTAATTGTGAACTCATTACGTATCGTGATGGGAATACAAAATATGCAGTTGTTATCAGGAAATCGACAACAAGGCAATTCGATTTTGGATCAATCTGTATGTTTGGTATAAGGTAATTTATAACGTAAGCTCGCCCTGTATAATTAGGTCCGGCTTGGGCCACGTTGATTGCTTATTATATTGATGTTTCAATTTTATACTCATTTTTATGGCCATCCACCAACTGTGGGGGGTGGCCACCCAGACCGTCGCACCTCCCTTTCGCACCTATCAACGGCTCGTTAAGTCTATCTTCGTCTACTTCTGCTTGAATGAATATTGATGTTACTGTCTCGTTTACTCCTTGGTGTATAACTATAGCTTTCTCTGTCGAACTGGTTACTGATTATGGTAGAAGTTGCTCGTTGCCGTGATGAGTTGTAGAGGTCCAGTGTACCTTGAAAACGATAGCACATCGGTTAATGTTGGCATCGACAGATGTTTCCTTTATTAACTCTAATAATGGTAGTGATTCGTCGTTTGGTTGCGTCATTTCACTTCACCTGCGGATTAGAAAACAAACAACAGCTATATTTAAATTTTGTATAATCCATAATCTTTACTCATAATTACAATTTTTGTTAAAACAACATTATGGTCTTCTAAAAACTCTATTACAATCTAAAGCTACATAATTCTTCTTTGTAGAGATTCCTAAAATCTTATATGGAGATGCGCACACTATTCAATTCTTCTTGTGCTATTAAACAGTTGATTGGCTGAGAAACAATCGACAATCGCAAAACAGTTGTGCGATAGATAAGTCAAAGGTGTGAGTCCGCTCTAAAGCGATACCTAAGTCCACGAACGTTAATAAAATTTGAAAAAACGGATAAGGCATTTATTTCAAATAGTAATTACACCACACAAGTTTATTAATTCTACAAATTCTTAAGATCTTAAACTGGGAGATAAGCAACAAAAAGGGTTTTAAGAATACGAATTAAGATGAACCTTTAAGATTTTATTCAGAATCAATTAGTGACAGGTTTGAGGTATTTCGGATGGTTCTTAACCAATAAAAAGTGTCGCGGACTTCAAAAGACCGCGCTTAATTAATAGTTTTTGGAATACCATCACTTAAGTCACCAAGAAAATATTGTGCGTCTAAAGGTACTAATTTGTTTTGGGTGTTTTTAATGAATTTTACAGTAGTTAAAATAAGAATAACTTTTCTTGACTGGTCTTGATAAAGTACAAAATTCGTGACAAATATGCTCTTGTAACGTTATATATTTATGGAACTAGCTGTTCCCGTGCAATTTCATCAGCATAAAATTATTTTATTGTTTACATGTGTCAAATTATCAATTGCAAATATCAAAATGACATGACATGACAAAACTTGGCAATCTTGCTTCCTTGATGTTGGCAGCAACTTATGGTCTCTTTCTCACATTAGGGTTTTTATACAAAATATTTACCCAATAAGTTTAATGGCCTGAAAATATATAGCCTAAAGCGGGACGGAAGTGTAGGGCTTTGCATCAGAAATAGATTTATTCAAAAATATGCTGTGATTGCTGAGATCTTAGGCAACAAAGAAGTGTGTGTTTACGCTTTATTATAATAGTATAGATAAGTTAATACTAATATTATAAATGCGAAAGTCATACTTCTCCAGAACATCTTTTTTGTCTCTCATTATGTAGGTTACGTTTTAAAAGATCCGATCACTTTGTAATTACTTGAAGTATAAGAGCGTCGGCACACCTTTGACTAGTCTCGTACAACTATTTAGTCGCGCTTTGATTCCTATGAGCTTATATGGAGGTGCACACACTACTCGATTTTTAGTTGTGCAACTAAACAGTTGTGCCCGCTCTTAAACAGCAGTTTAACCCTAGGACTCTACTGCACTTACACCTCTAGTAATATTATGTTGTCGTCACTATCATTTGTTTTGATAAAATAAAGACAACAATATGCAGGAGTAAAAGTGTCACCGCAGTGGAGTTTCACTGTTTGGTTCAATAAACCTCATTAAAATGTTGTGTCTTGTTAAAATGAAATCACGCAACGCGACGTCAACCGGCGACATTGTCGGCCTCAGCGCAGATAATCGATGCTATTAACTTATTTATTATTTCCTGTTCTGATCAAAAGTTCCTGTTATTTTGTAGTTATAGGGGTGTGAATAACAACTTACCAACAGAAGTAAAGCTGTCGGTAGAATTTACTGATCTATTGACGAACAGAAGTCTAAAATACATAAAATAGATTTTGTTACTTTTGAAGCTGGAAATAATCCTGATACAAAGCCTCTACTTCTTATTTGCATACTCTTAATTAACCAGATCTTTCTAAAAATAGAAAACACTACGTTCGAAGTTTGACTAATCTAATGACATCACTAATTTAAGCACATTGATGTCGCAATTTCCTTACCGCATGTTAAATAGTAAGCGCGTGCGCACACCTGAAATTAAACTATAGCATAACTTTTATGAATATTGAATTCTGTGTACTTATATGGTGCTGCGAACACTAGATTTGTAGTTGCAACTAAACAGTTGAATTGGCTGCGAAACAATCGACAGTCACAACAATTGTGCGATAGTTTAGTCAAATATGTGTGCTCGCTCTTAAATTTTTTGATCCCCTCATCTTTCAAAAGCTTATTGATTTATAAAAGAATGTTCTATTAATTTGTTAGTAATTATTGTTAAAACTTTGTATCGGCGTTATCACAAATTGGTCTCTCCGGTAGTCTTTAAGACCGGTCCCTCGCCTCACTATTTAACATCGGAGCTCGTTAAATTTTATTTGGAAAGTTCCAGAAACAAAAAAAAATGTTAAGGAGCGAGCCGACAAGCGGCGCCTGAGTTTCATTTATAAATCACTGCCCGCCATCTTGTAGATCAAGAGATTAATAAGTCAACTGTTAACATAGATCTCTTTACCTTCAATGTTCTTGGCTACTAATACATTTACGCTGTATGATTTTTGTAACAAATCGTGACATTTTTTTAATAGCCTTTAAATGATAATGAACCTTATGCTGTTGCGTTAACATTCAATTATGATTGTTTTGAGATATTTCGGTGTTTTGAAAGCATATCATCAACAGTTATGTTTCTTTTCGTCACAGGTACAAAGTGAAATGGCCCTTTTTGAAATTAATACGTCTGTTTATACCGACAATAATTTGATTCTTGTCGATTTTGATAGATAATATTGGACAGTTCATCGTTTTGAGTGACAGTGAGTCTTCTATTTAGTTAGTTGATTTGAAATTAATTTTGATATTTGATTTCAAATAACTCTAAATATTATTTATGTGGTGTGTCATTTTTTTTAATGATATAGAAATTTTTATAAAACGTATTACAAAAATGTTTTATATTTTTTTGTATTTCATCAGTGTAAGAATTGACTAAACGCTATTCTTATTCTCATAACATCACTCTTAAGTCTTAATCACGTCATTTTCGTAGCCTCGAGACATGCTTATTTGTTAAAAAAACGACAATTTAAAGACTATTCGATATACTTCGAAAGCCGATTGCAAACAGCCTCCATCGAAACATACTTAATTAATAAAACGGCCCATAAAGCCAAACCAAGTACGTGCAAGCTGTGCGCTTACAAGGCGCTGATGGGCGACCGCGAGATGGCCACCGGCCGCCGCCAGTAATTAACACAAAAAAGGATGCGGCTCCGATCGCGGGTGGTCCGATAAGTAGGAAGCGATCCGGTCAATTACTAGTTGACAGCGACAATTAAAGGGTCAATGATGGACCTTTGAACAAACAACCATTCAAAACACGTCGCTACTTACAATAGATCTTGTGATATAAATAATTTTCCCCCCTATAAGCACCGGTACAGCATTAACAGGAAAATTTTTATTCCTAACTAGCTGTCGCCGCAAACTTCGTTAGCGCAGATTAAAAAAAAAACTCATCTATCACATTCCCGTGTGCATCTACCTTCTACCAGCTACCTTCCAGTCAAAGTCCTGTCCAAATCGGTCCACCCGTTCCAGTTATAGCGTTCCATTTTGACAGCGCGGAATTAAAAAAAAATATAGCCTATAAGATGCCATCCATGTCACCTACCCCCCAGTAGAAGTCCCGTTAAAATCAACACAGTCGTTACGGAGATTACCCAGAACAAACTAGGCTTGTGGACAAACAGACAATTTTTTTTAAATGCGATTTTCGTTACCAGCAACGCAAATACACCATCTTCCCGAAATCTGGATTGTTTCCTTTTATATTACAAAACAGAGACTCCGATTTTACTAAATGCATAGATAGAAGACTAGAAGAATAATATTCATTGGTCGACTTTGACCAATGGGTTATCGTATCTTTCAAATGTGGCTGTCATTTGTTTCGTCTACTACCTCAAAGTATGACATATGCATTGCAAAATTCCTATTAACTTGACTAAGAATTTAAAGCCTGTGTACCAAGAAAGATGTTTCGATGTCTGTCGAACATTTTAATCACATATTTTTTAAGGCATTTTGGTATAGTGTTTTACTTTTTTGATGTATTCTTTTTAACAGACCTAAGAATCTTGTATAACCAGAATTGGCATCACTCTCTAAGGGTTTTTGAAACTTTTTTTATTATGTTGAAGCAGAAATTACGGCTTAATACGGCCAGTGTCAAGGGACTATGTTACTTTGATGCGTATTCGAATAGATACGATGAAAATGGCGTCTTTTTAGGACGAATACTTATTTCGAATCTACTTACATATTACCTATACTGTCACAAGGTTTTCGTTTTTGGAATAGTATCATTTTGAATGGGAATGATGTGTAAATAAGTCATTTTTTGATACTTGGAATGTTATACGTTTTACAATATCATCTATATTAATATTATAAAGAGGAAAGATTTATAATTTTGTATGTATTGAAATTACTCAAAAACTACTTGGCCGATTTTAAAAATACTTTCACCGTTAGAAAGGTAATTTATCTGTAAGTACTATAGACTATATTTTTTGTTAATTTATAATTTAGCCCGGGCGAAGTTAAAGCAACAGCTAATTAAAAAATAATAAAAAAACTTGAGAAACATTTTTTAGATAAGTTACCTTAAAAATAAATCTATGTTACAGTAAAACTATACGTAGTATTGTAAGACATTTAATCTTTTCTGTTACCAATTGTTATTAATTAAATAAACAAAACAAAAGCCTGCGGTATTTACCATCTTGTCTGGCATTACAATGGTTTACTCACAAACATCTGTAATATCGTATTGTATCGTATTAGTTTTTGTTGTACAATGCTTACCAAATATAGCGTTGATTCCTCTACACAATGTATGAATTCAAGTAATGCCCTATAGATAATTGACATTGTAATTGGTCAAATACCTGCTAACGGACATACCTTCGGCAAATGGAATACATGCATATCCCATTCGACCGATG